AGCGAACTCCCATCTGGCCAGAACTCTCTGCTAAGAGCGACAGTGAATGGACATGAAAAGAGAGCGGTTATGGCGGAAAGAGGGATTAGTGTCGGACCCAAGAGAATCTAAGCTTTTTTGCACAGGCTTGAATCCTCTATTTTGAGTAATAAGAATATAAACCATTTTATATAAAATGAATCGTTTTATTAACAGATACACATGTAGCTAACATTGCTGCTAATGGATAATTCCTGTAGCTATCTATCCATCGCGCCGAAAATATATTTTTGAGTCTGTCAGCTAGTTGATGTGTATTATCGTGTCCTACTGAAATGTATGTGGAAAACAATTACGAAACTTAGCTACCAAATTTTTTCCGTAAGCGATTTTAGCTTCAAAAAGTCTGTAGCGTAATTTTTTCCATAGGCAAAATAGACTAATGGGAGTTGGCGTCCATAGCAATCAAGTAAGACATAATTAGATATTTTTTTTAGTTGTCCTAGTTGTTTGCATGATATGAATATCTATATGGAGCATGAGAAGCTTTTGAGCAAATTGTATTTTATAGATTTATTGTATAAAAGACTTGGAGAAAAAAGCATAATTATATAACATTGATAAAATGTTCAGGCTTAACATCAGCATTGCGATAAAAGATAATTAATGTGAAGATGCAAATTTTTTTAAACAAACTGTGACTATAATAGAGCAAGTCTTGAATTTATTAGGACTAATGTCATAACACGCCACTAAATTATGAAATAATTTTGCGGTATCAGTTACTGAATTATATAATACGAATAGATGTTGAAGATGCAGGTAGTTACGTACATATGCAATGTGCAAGATACATTATACATGATGAATAATTATTTGTAGAGAATAAAAAAGCAATAATACATAGATTGAAGTTTTAATATAAGAATAGCCACATTAAGACATAGGATAGATTTGCGAAGCTTAACATAATAATATTGTCCAAACTGTATTTAATTATTGTATATAATATAGTGGTATATATATATATTTGAACTATTTCCATTATATTTAAGAATATTCTATTTTAAAAATAAGTTTAATTATTAAGATATGATAGATAAAGAAGAAATGATATCTGTTATTTTCTTCAATTGGATATGAAAAATAAATTATCCAATTGGCATATTAATGATCAACGACGAAAGTAACTTGTATAATTGTTAATAAATAGATATAATTTAAAAAAAACAATAAAGTCCATAAAGTTATCGCTAGATATTTGATAATGTGTTATATATCATTTAATTTTGCTATTAATATTACATAAATTGAGAAAATAATAAATTTAGCTTAATATAATAGATAAATGAGGGATTAATTTTTAATTTTAACAGATAGATATAGTTGTGAAAAAAGTATAGATTATATGTTATTAAACAAATATGTATTATCTAATAATTTTTATATACTTTTAAATAAATTTTAAAAAATAAATTGATCCCAATTAAATATATAAATAAATGAAAAAATAACGTTTTAATTTTTAATAGATAAAAGGAATGTCTTTTATAAAATAATGATGTATATATGCCATTACTATATTCTATGTAATATTTTATAAAATTATAAGGAGATGAGATATTTTTTAGTGAGAAATAAAAAAATGAAAAGAAGCATATAAATAAGTTTGTTTTTAAGTTATACTTAAACTAAATTTGAAAAAAATAAAAGTTTTCCAATTAAATATATAGATAAGATGTGGGAGAAAAAAAAATTTAATAAGGAGATAGTTTTGAAAAGAAAAGTCATAATATCCATATTAAATTTTTATTTTCCAATATAATTTGTGTTTAAAAAGATTATGAAAATAAATTTCCAAAAATAGATAAGATAAAAATAAATAAGGACCACATATGTACGGTGGTTTGAAAATAAATTTCCAAAAATAGATAAGATAAAAATAAATAAGGACCACATATGTACGGTGGTTTGAAAATAAATTTCCAAAAATAGATAAGATAAAAATAAATAAGGACCACATATGTACGGTGGTTTGAAAATAAATTTCCAAAAATAGATAAGATTTAAAAAATAAATAAGGACCACATATGTACGGTGGTTAGGCAAATTGAATTCAACTACATATGCTAAATCATGATGGTTATAGTGGTTAGGCAAATAACGGTAATTAGACAAATATATCAAGCAGCTATTAACTATAAAAAATAAAAAATTAACTATAAGTAACATTGAAATCTAATTGAGATATAAGAAATTGTCAAAAATAAATCTACAAATTGAATAAATAACTATAATCTTCTTAGGACAACATAAAAACTATGTACAATATTCATGAAGATATATATATGATAAAATCAGTTCATGGGTACAACTCATGTATGTGGGAGTGTATCCAAACAACGCCTGCTAATTGTACGGGACAACTGGCAATGCAATCCAGAACACAAAAAAACAAAAAAAAAAAAAAAAAATTAAAAAAGAAAAAGAAAAAATTTAAAAGTTCAAACTTTTTGGGAAACAAAATTAAAAAAAAAAAAAATTAAAAAAGAAAAATAAAGTTCAAACTTTTTGGGAAACAAAATTTTCAAGTCTAATTGAGATAAGAACATTTATCAAGTTGTGGCTAGAAGCAACGTCGGAGAATATGAAGAGCTTCCATCCATGTAAACAGATCGGTGGTAAAAGTGATAAAGAGAATCACAAAAAATATAAGAATAAAACTCTTTGAAAATACATATGATAGCAACCTATTTAATTAAAAGAAAATATTTAATTGGAAACAATAGAAACCTTTTAAAAAAAAAAAGTAACATCACTCAAAATGAGATCCGACACTTTCATGGATTGAAAAATATAATGCTCACGTTAACATTTTATGGGTAGAATAGCAACATTAGAAAAATTAAAAATAAAAAACTATTATTATAAAAAAAACTATAAATAAATCCAAAAGAATTTAAAATCTTATTCTCTAGAAACTAATAAAAAAAATATTATTTAAAAATACAATCCAATCACAAATAGAAAATAAATAAATAACTTAAAAATTATAAAAAAACTAAAATACTCAACAAAAAAAGATTATCTACAAAGTAATACAAAAATATATTATTTAAAAATACAATCCAATAAATAAATAACTTAAAAATTATAAAAAAACTAAAATACTCAACAAAAAAAGATTATCTACAAAGTAATACAAAAATATATTATTTAAAAATACAATCCAATCAAAAAATAGGAAAATAAATAATTTAAAAATTGTAAAAAAAGAAAATAAAAAACTCAACAAACAAAGAGCCAATTAGTTAGCTACTTATATCTAAATTAATTTGATTTAAGGTTATTTATAAATCATTGTTAAAGAAAAAGGCATAGAGATAAAATACATGAGAATTGAGATTAAACGGAAGAAGAATATATATAGTCAAATAGTTTTAGATAGATTAAGATTGAAAAGTGTTGGTTATTATCATAAAATATTAATTTTTAAATTTTTACTAGTTGGATTAGGTTTTAAAAACTTATCAATCTCTATATTAAGTGCTAAAAATTAAATTGAAAAATTATTTGAATTGACCAATCAAAATACAAAAAATTAAGGAAAAAAACTTCAAATTTTCTAAAAAAAAGAAAAATAGAATGTTGAACAAAAAAAATGCCTCAAACCTTCTGTTTGTTTTAGCTTTCACATATATATATGGAAGATTTGGTAAATGTTATTCAAAGGGGAAAGCTGCCCTTGCTGTATAACCCTGTAACCCACAATGTTATTCTGATTTGTTGGGCTTTCCATGTATAAAAAAAATAATGGTAAAAAGAAAACTTCAAATATTATTTATTTCTCAAATAAAGAAAACAGGATAATAACTAGGGAGGGCGAAAAAAGAAAATAGAAAAAAATTTTTTTTTTTTTTTTGAGTATTGGTGGAAGGACGATAAACCTAGATTTAATTTCAGATTGCATATGGATTTACCATTAGACTATGTCTTAGTGTGCAAAATAAAACAACAAATAAAGGATAAAGAAGTAATAAAAAATAAATCAGAAAAATTGTTTTGAATATAGTTGGGAATTGAGAAGTATACCTAAAAGCTACATTATTTTTGCAAATATAAATCAATTGCCGCCCAAACAAAAACATCAAAATTCGAGAATAGTCATTACAAACTTTCTTTGCACTCAGTTGTAAATCCATGTGTTTGACATGATCAAACATTTGAATGACAGATCGAAAGTCAGTGTCACTACAGAGGGTTTGAAAATTAAGGTGTGATAATCATGTTCATTGCAAGCCAATAAGAATAAATGTAATCTTAATGCATCAGAAAGCACCCATATAAGTTCAAATTAGTAAGGATTATTAGGGTATATTTGACTTTTTAAAGTGCATTTTCCCCTTTCCATGCCAAATGGACCCCACAGTTTTTCCTACATTCATTCCCCCTTCCCAACCCATTTCTCACTCAGTCCTTTAAATGACTCAAATTCCATTTCAATAAAAATTTATTAATAAATTTATATAAATCTACTAAAAATTTTACAATTTTATTAAAAAATTTTGGTAAATACCCCAAATTGGATGACATGATCTTTTTTCTTTTAATAAAAAGTCTCGAATTCAAACTCTAGATATGGAGTCTTTTCAAATACTTAGAAAAGAGCGCTTTGTTTTGGAAATTTTATAATTTCAAATAAAATCTTCTTCGTATAAGTTCAATAGTTTTATCATGTTTCTTTGGAAATCTCATCCAACATATGTTCCTTGTTAAAGAATATGTTATTTGAAAGATAAATAAATAAAAACTAGGATGAACATACAAAACATCCATGATATAAGTTGAAGGGATAGAATAGCATAAGTTAATTATTTTAACTCCCATATCACAATCTATATATTTGACTACAAGTTAAATACCATATATAATTATTTTTACACCTCAAATGTAAAAACAATGAACAATAGTAAGCAAAGTTGTGCTTCCTTGTACTATAATATGAATAAATATATTTAGGGTAATAAATATTATTATTATTATTATTATTATTATTATATGGAGGCCTAAAGGAGCTAACATCTTGGCCCATGGTTTTTGAAAACAAACCCAAGATGGATGGATAAAAGAAACAAATAAAAATTACTAGAATATTCCGAGCAAAAGGGCAGATAGAAAAATTAAAAATGAAAAATAAAATGTGGCAGCTTAGTAATTAGCCACATTGGACAACTATCCAAAAAAGAAAAAAACAATTCGCTATCAAGGTGTAAGTAACACTATATTTACATTGGTCAATGGTTCTCCTTTTAGACAAGTCAGTGCCTAACTTTGTTTCTTATGCGTCTCTTTCAAAACAAGAAAGTATTGCTTCTATTCTCATTAGAGGAAGAAGGCGGTGGCCTAGTAGGCGGAGCCGCCACCTGTTGGGCGGAAACTCCATCCATCACCAACCCATCTGATGAAACATCCATCCCTGTTGGTCTAGGGTTTCCAAGCCTTTGAAAAAACAAGTCACCATTTCCAGGACTGTTATTCCCTAATGAAAACAAATATGAAGGTTGGTTTTGCTGCTGATATTGAAGATTATGATACCCTGCAGCAGGAACCATAGGATTAACATGAACCTGACGTGGATTCATACCAAAATTAAACGAAGACGTGGTGAGATGAGATCCTGATGAAGAAAAAGGTGCACTAGGTCCTCCAGTAAATTGCTGTACCATAGCCCTGAAATTTGTAGTATCTGTATTGAGTAAGGTTGTTGGGGTTCTTCTAGACGCTCTGGATCGTCTTCGCACCGGCTTCGCAACACGACCTTCCGGACTCAAATGAGCTGCGGTTGGTGAGCCGGAGCCAGAGCTACCTGAACCCAACAGGGTTGGGCTCGTACTTGACGTTATAGTAGTCGTGACAACGGTGGCATCAGAGACTCCGTCGCTGAACATAGTGTGGTTGTGTTGATGATTATAGAACTGGCCCCAATCGCTCGGATTAGACATGTTCTGTCTCATAGCCTATTGCTATGCAGAGCTTAGAGCTTATTAGTAGAAGAGAAGCTTATGCACGCATATTAGGTGAATTGGAAGGGAATTAATTGTGCTGAGGGTTGCGGTATTTATGGTGGCTTTCAACGTGGTCAAAGTAAAGACTATTTGGGGAAATCTCCGCCGTTGAGTTTGCAATCGTAAATAAAATGTCACGTGAGAACTCACGTGATTAGAGGGTTTCTGGAAAGTCTTCAATTGATGGAGGCTGCATGGTTCCTGGAAGCAACATAGGAGGTGGGTTGGGGTGGGGGGCCCAAGGAGCTATCATGATGACGTCATCGTCAAAGTGGCCACGTCGACTTAAGACTTTTTGGTGGTAGGTGATATTAGGCGACTTGGGACATAGGGAGTCCTTAATTATGAATATTTTATTTGCTTTTTTTTTTTTTATATAATTTTAGGACAGGAAACAGCCATACACCTTCTAATTCTTTCAACTGCTTGTTTTAACCGCATGAAGTCATTAAGGACTGTTTTAACTTTTAAAGTCCCGTCCAATTATTTGACCTTGTTACTGGCCGCTGGACCGTATTTAAGGAAAAAAGTGCTTTTTGCAATGGGTTTCGATTTGAGATTTAACTTTTTTCCTCTCTCCCAAAATAATTATTTAAAATTATATATAACAATTAAAAAATAATTAATTTTTAAATTATAACAAATTCAAAACTAATGTGATCAAATTATCTTTTTATCTCAAAATCAATAGTCGTAAAAATAGTTTTTATAACTAATACAAATAAGGATAACATTAAAAAAATATCATTTATTACTCTTTAAAATACTCAAAACACTTAAAACGATTTACATTTTGGGACAAAATAATCACCTAAAAACAATTTATATTTTAGAACAAAGAAAATATATCGGAGTAACTTTGCATGAGAGTACAGATGAATAAACTTGAATTTGTTCGAATTTGGAATAAAAATTAAAATTTTTATACAATTTATTTAATTTGCACTAAAAAGAATAAAAAGTTCATTTTCTAAAAATAAAAATTAAATTTTCCCAAAATAAAGATTTTTTTTAAATCAAATAAAATTAAAATATAATGAAATAGTATATTAAAATCATATATAATTAAATAAAAAGTATAAATATTTTTCAAACCAAATATTCAATATAATCAAATACTTTTATTATCTTATAATTTTTTAAATGAAATTTTTTATTGAATTACACTGTAATTTTTTATAATTGTTGTATTTTTAGACAATTTTTGTCTTTTCCAAGTTTAAAATCTTGAAATAATTTTTATTAATTAAAATATTAAAACTTATTTTTCTTTAACAAAATGAGTTTTTCTTTTCGTGCAAATTTAGGGATAAATTGTTGAAAAAAATGAATTTTTAGACAAATTTTATACTACCTATATTCCATAATACTTATCAAATATGAGAAAATAGTTTGTTCCAAAATACTTGTCACATTTGTGGTTTAAAAAAGTAATAAATATTTTTTTTCAGGTTTACCCTTTGTATATAACCAATAATTATTACTTCAACTTATTGATTTTTTTTAACGAATTAGTATTAAATTAAGGGTAATATAGTTAATATAATTATTACTTCAACTTTATTGAGTTTTTTTTACCCTTTGTATATAACCAATAATTATTACTTCAACTTATTGATTTTTTTTAACGAATTAGTATTAAATTAAGGGTAATATAGTTAATTTACTCAATAATTTATTGTAACTTAGACAAATTTAATAGTTTTATTAAAAAACGTGAAATTCCAAATGTGATAAGCATTATGAAACAGAGATAGTATTGATTTTCAATTCAAATGGCAAATTGAATCTTATTTCAATTATAAATGAGCCTATTACTTGTGAACAACTCGAGATATTTGAAATTCAATTTAAAAAACACTTTTCAAACTCATTCCATAAGTTTAACAAGAGAGTAAAAACTTACTTATTGGAGTTGGTTGAATAAACGGGTGGATCTAATGTTATGGGACCTACAAAATCACTTTCTTACATTTCTTTTAAAAATAAATTTTCAAACATTAAAAATTTTTTCTCACTTTAAATTTGTATTTCATATACCATGAACATAAAGCAAAATGAGTATATTTATTATCGCTGGAGCTTTAATCTATTTCTGAAATTATCTCATTATATAGATATTCTTTTATTTAAAAAAAACGCATTTTTTTTATCAGAATCATGACAATTTTTATAAAATATATTATATCTAACGTAGATACACACTTTATTAGCAATGTGATTTTTATAAAATTATTTCTTTTGAAAAGTAAAAGTTACAAAATTTATAAAAAGCCAAAAATGATTGTGAATTATTAAGTGCTTTGGATTTCTCCCTTCCTAAAAAATTGTTATTTGCTTCCATTTACATTCAGGGTAAATTATTAAACAAAATCCCCAGATTTTAATTATACTCTAAATTCGATTTTCTTCTCTTAATATCTTGAATTTTAACTTTAATCACAATAGCATCCTAATTTCAAATTATTTAATTGCCTTGAAAAAATATTATTTTCAAATTGTACCTAATATTAAAAAAAAAAATACATTCATCTTAAAAATAAAATAGTTTTTTTATTTATATTTATATAATATTAACAATAAGTAATGATTCTCTAAAAATAAAATTATGTCGTAATGAATAAAAACCTATTTTTACAAGAGATCTAACTTTAAGTATAATTTCAATAAACCATAACTAAAATTTGATGCTTAAAAAATGTCAAAACAAAGACCAAAACTAAATTAAATAAAATTAATATCTTAATGTCAAGTTAACTAAATTAGTTGGCTTTGCAAACAAATCCTCTAATCAATAGTTAGACTATAAATCATAATATATTTTTTCATGAAAAATAAATATATTTTTCAATTTGATTGACCCTACCACAGTAGCCATAGCGCTACTTGGTCCGCTTTTAACTTTACTTCAATATCACTCGAGATACTTAGGAAACAAAAAGGGGAATGTGAATTCTTTTAACAAAATAAATTGTTACATTCTTTAATTATCTTTTAACTTAAAATTTTTTTGCCCTTAAATTTCTTTTAATTGACAGAACTTTTACAAATGAGCACTCTAGTATCAAATTTTAATTAAATGAGAGAGATTCAATAATATTTTCTTTTAATTTTATGTTATTTTCAATGACTAGTTTTGAATTTTTTTTTTTCATTTATATAGAAAAATCCATCATAATTTCAAAATAAAATTTGAAATGGATTCTAAAACTCATAAAATGAATAAAAAAGTAGAACAGAAAATTGAACCAGCAATTACACACTTGGGACAAACCCAAACCACAGGCCTAATAGAATCAAACAGTTAGCTAGAATCCATAACAGAAATAGCTATAATTTGTAGAACTATTAGTTGACGTGTACACATGAGATAACAACCACAGAATAGCATAGAACCTTCTACTAGATAGCACATTTTGTATATAAACAGAATACAATAGACCTACAAAGATATGGGAATCTAATATACATCATTTACGATTTTTTCCATTAATGCTTCGCTAAGCTTTCTCTTGAATACCTTTAAAGTTGACTATGGTATCATAGCCTGTACATTTGATAATGTGATCACTGGTTCTCTAGTTCTCCTTCAACCTTTTTGCTTCCGCTAGCTAGCCATTCTTCTCAACCTCTTGTAGAAATAGATCCACATCAAAATGATGATAGAACAATAACAATTAGAAACAGACAGACTGGTGAACTCAGATAACCTTACCTCTAATCTAGTAAGTGTACTTCTCAACGGAAGTAATTACCTATCATGGAGCAGATCAATGTTGATTGCTCTAAGAGCCAAAGATAAACGAAGTGTTATCATGGCCTTTGCCAGAAGCCTAATCTTGGCTTATCATTTTATGATAAGTGGCTAAGAGTTGATATATAGTGGTTTCTTGGATCTTAAACTCAATATCTAAGGATATTGTTGAGGCCTTTCTATATGTTGATAATGCATAAGAATTGTAGGAAGAACTGCCACAGAGATTTGGAGAAAGTAATGGGCCCTTACTGCAAATCAAACAAGAAATCTCAGGTCTAACATAGGGAAACACATCTGTTATGGTATATATTTACCAAATTAAAGAGATATGGGATGAACTAGGCCGCTTAAGGCCATTACCTACTTGTACTTGTGGTGCCTCTAAGGCTGTTTCAGATTTGGGAGATGAAGACAAATTGGTTCAATTTTGATGGGCTTGAACGAGAGCTATGATGATGTGAAGAATCATATCCTACTTATGGAACCATTTCCAAGTGTTAAGCGTGCTTACTATATGGTGTTAAGGGTTGAAAAACAGAAGGAGGTTCATAACATTGTCCTTTGAATCTAATGATCGCACCACAATGATGTATGCACAAAAACCATAAAAAGACCCAAACTAAACCCACAAGAAATTACCAGAAAATTAACAGCGATGTAAGGAATTTCAACGAGAAAAAGAAAGATCGATTCTGTGATTATTGCAAAACTAGAGGTCATACAAAGGACAGCTGCTTTAAGTACATGGATTTCCTAAATGGTGCTATGAATTAAAACAGAAAAATGCAAAAGCAAATGCCATCATGTCACTTCAACTAGCAGAACCACCATTCTCAGAATCACTAACTGCCTATGAAGACCTCAGTGACAATATTACCAAACTTGTACAATAGGAAGTCATGAGGGCAATTAAAGGAAAGGGAGTTCAGGAGGAACAAATCAGTCATGAAACCTTAACTGCAAATACAACAAGATTTGTAGTTACTATAACCAATTCACAACTAAACTGCATGAGAAATACTGATAGAGGGGATTGGATTGTAGACACAAGGGCAATCGATTACATGACTTTCAACATGTATTTTTTCCATACTATACAAAAATTGCATAAACCGAAGCAAGCCAGACTCCTAGATGGTTCCTACAAGATAGTCACAGACACAAGCACAATTATTTTACATGAAAACCCGACATTATATGATATCTTGTACATACCAAGTTTTATATGCAATCTCATTTCAGTTAACACACTAGCCAAAGTTAACAAGATTTCAG